CAGAAAATGGTTTCAGCCCTTCACCGAACCGTTGCCCCCAGGACGATCCCGAACTTTTAGTCGCTTCCCAACCGGAACCGCTCAAGCTGCTTCAGCTCTCCGAGTGGGAAGCAAACAGGCCAGACGACGAGCTTTGCGCAAGCTTTATTCGGTATACTATCGAGTGGAAAGTCAAAGTGAATAACCGGTCCATGTCAGAGGATACGGAACAGGACGTAGCGCTGACCCCAAGTGCTTACTGGCCCTTGGTCCTCAGGGACAAGCTGTATAAGGTAATCGAGGAGAAAGTTGCGCGCAAACGAAGGGTCAGGTCGGACGACACATCTATTGTTGTCTCGATCAACGATCGTAAGCAACGGGACCTGAAAAAGCGGTTTAATTGCCTCAGTATTGACTGGTCCGCTGTGGAAAAACAATTACTCGTTTGGGGGAAGTTTCATGCCAGTGGTAAAGAGTTGCGGCTAAAGATCATCTTCAACTATATAGAGGATGACATCTCCCCTAGAAGCTCAACAGGCAGAAACGACAAAAGAGGAAGGTCATCTGTCACCAAAAGGATGCTCAACGAGCGGGATGAACAACTTGACGCCGAACAGCATACAACTGGCGAACAGTCGATCTGGCGGGCAGTCTACAATTTGATGCGCTGTCCTTCGCCATCTTGTCATCTTGGTCCGCACTGCTGGCAGGACCCACATGGGAAAAAACACTATCAGCTAAGGACACACCATTTGAAACGCCTGATCGCTTATGTTGAAGGTGGTGGCATCCTGGAATGTCAAAACGATGTTCCTGACGCTGTTCGTGAGGAGCTCTTCTTGGAAGAGCAGCAGAAATTGGAGAGTCTCCAAACTAAGGGCAGCAAAATGCTTGCTTCAGGAAATTGTCCACCTATTAATATCAACTTCATGGGAGGGCAGCATCACCTTCAATCACCGGCGACCAACTCAATTGCAACATTGGCTACGTCTCCACCGCAAATTGGACAGACGGTTGATCCGCTCGTAATTGACGGGCCCCGAGATTTGGCTGTGAGAGAGTACAGCGCATGGCAAGAAACAAATGTTGTCGACGACAATTTGAAGGCTCAGTTTCGACAGGCATGCGATGTAACGCTGGCCAACGGTCTGGATCTTGAACAGATCCACGGGGACCATGACGCTGGATTTTTTATTGAAAAAGGAGTTGCGGTAGGGATTGCACGCCGCTTCGTAAGCGACATTGGTAGATGGGTGAGGCACGTAAGAAATTGACTGCGCAGGCTCGCAGTTAGTGGCTGGCAAGGCGTAATTAGACTTTTGATTCCTTTTTTAATTGCTTTTGATCAGACGTACTTCCTGCAATGCAATACTAGACAAAATAAATGCGGATACAATCTAGTCAAATTTGATGCCAATGAAATGGTCTTGTACAGTATAGAATTAGCGTTGATCTATCATCAACACCGAGCCTCAATGATAGTCTTCAACAACAACGCCAGCGTGCCGGAAATGGCCCATTGCACTTTCTTCTCGGGATCCGACAGCCTCGATACACCATTCAAGGAAAAAGGCGAATCCTTGGTCCGGGCTTTGTTCATATCGCTTCCAATTCCGCCTGATGAACGCCTTCAACTCAGAGAAAAACTCCTCAATGGGATTCAAATCAGGTGAATAAGGTGGCAGGTAAACCAGTTTTACTCCTGCATTGGCACATAGTTCTTTGATTCGCTCAGAATGATGAAAAGATGCATTATCCATGACTACAACGGACTTTGGTTCAGGCCACCTACCGCAATGTTTGAGAAGCTGCTCAATGAAATCCTCAAATACAGCTGCATCAGTCGAGCCTTGGAATACTCGAGAAAAGACGACACCATCTTGGGCGTATGCAGGAAGAATCTGATATCGTTGGTCACGATGGAATTTGGAAACCTGCAAAGGTGTCGCGCCGACCGGAGACCAGCCGGTCCGCCTAAAACCAATTCGTTTATCGCATCCGGACTCGTCCACATAAACTAGGTGATAGGATCGGAAATCCGATAGGTTGTGTAGGTAGAAGTCTCGCAAATCGGCATTTTGTTCTTTTGCTCTTTGTCGAGCCACCTTTTTCGACCAGCCGACAGACGCAAGAGCCCGTTTAAGACTCGAATTTGTCACCTTGATATGGAATTCATCCCATATAAAGAGCGCCATCTCATCCACGTACAGCCCAGGCTTCTCAAGTAGAAGATCACATATGGCGTCTAGCATCGGAGGGGTGATAGTTCTTCGTCGTCCGACACGAGTCGGAGGGGCTCTGACATTTCCGAATCGGTGGAGATTGTTGCGGATGTTGATGATGGAACGCCCACTACATTCAGCTGCTTCGGCCATCTGCGATGTATTCAGGGATTTGCTAAGTATCATGTCACGGATCATCTCGAGCTTCGATGGAGGGAGCCTTGGCGCCATTTTGCGGAGGGACGATAGAAGGTGCTGTGGATGGAAACCCCATAAGGCATTGACTGATGGGCATTGTTGGGCACCATGTGGAAATTCTTTTCTCCATGCTCACCCTTGCTCACCCTTCTGCTCAGTGAGCGGATGAAATGAGTTTTAGTCGAAGGTCTGGGGGATGCTGGGGTATTGGGAAATGCACGTGACAAAGAACTGTCGTGGTCCCTGGTAACGTGGTTGTCATGGCGACAGATCTGAAAACTGCGGGCCGCCTCAATACCAACCGTCAGAGACAACAACATGTACAATGTCACGGATGACGGATCACGTGTCTAATCTCTCCTCAGGGTGTTGGATGGTTGAAAGCTGTTGGCGTAACAGTATATTAACCTACGTACTAAACTTGGTAGTTTTAAGGCTAAGTTGAATTGCCCATCGGATCTGATATGACGAAACCTACAGGTTGGATACTTTAGATATTGGAGAAATCTCTGGAAAGGCCGCAAAGAGTATTTATCAACGCTGGGATAAACAACAAAATAATACCAAAACATGCATATAAGTAGTCAAAAGCAAGAGATGGGATTATGCTCTGAGAGTGAGAGAAACACGACACGGCCTGATGAACAGCATATTACCACGGTTCGTCCAGATACAGCAGAAAAAGACGGAGACTCCGGTCGATATTCGGCAGGCAGCCACAAGAGGTTCAGTCCATTGTAGCTTATCCAGGAGTAGTCACCACTGAAACCAAATCCATTTTGTTCTGGCAACGATAGCGAAGTGTGTGGTGGAGTGGGCCTGGTTAGTGCAATTTTGAATGTACCGATTGATGTGTGTAGATGATTGAGTTTTATTTTGTCAAATCGAAGGAACGAGGAAGAGATAGGAAGTGCTAACTCGCAATACCCAGTGGTCGAATCCCAGACCCTGACTGAGTTATCAACAGACGCTGTTGCGAGTCGGTTTCCATCTTGCGACCAAGCAATCGTGCTGACCGCTCCACGATGTCCTTCGAGACTTAATATACACTGACCACTGGTTGTATCCCATATTTTGAGTATACGGTCAAGAGACGCCGATGCGAGTCGGCTGCCATCTTGCGACCAAGCAATCGAGCAAACCGATCCACCATGACCGCTGAGAGTAAACTTGCACTGATCAATGGCTGGGTCCCAGATTTTGACCGTCATATCCAAAGAGGCCGATGCGAGTAGGCACCCGTCTTGCGACCAATCAATTGACCATACCGGATTATTGTGACCCTTAAGGGTTGACAAACACTGGCCGTTTATCGGATCCCAAATCCTAATGGTCTTATCCCAAGAGGCTGTGGCGAGTCGACTTCTATCATTTGACCACGCGATTGACATGATTTTATCACCATGCCCCTCAAGAGCCGAAAGACATTGTTTAGTGACTAGATCCCAGATCCTGACTGTCTTATCATCTGATACTGACGCAAGTCGGCTTCCATCTGGCGACCAAGCAACTAAGCTAACTGGCCCGCTATGCCCCTCGAGGAGTAATAAGCAATGACCTGTAGCTGGATCCCAAATCCGGACAATGCTATCTGAGGAACCTGATGCGAGCCGACTTCCATCATGCGGCCAGGCAATGCACAACACTGAAACTCTTTTGCTTAAGTGAGCTGATGCATACTTGCTGGCTGTCGAGTCCCAAATCCTGACCGTTTTATCCCAGGATGCTGATGCAATTTGGCTTCCATCTTGGGACCAAGCGATTGAGTTCACAGTATCCGTATGTCCCTCGAGTATTGATGTGCACTGGCCAGTGACTGAATCCCATATCCTGACTGTCCTATCCCAGGATGCTGATGCAAATCTGGTTCCATCTTTCGATAACGCAAGGGACATGACCATATCACTATGTCCCTCGAGAGCGAAGAGGCAATGGCTAGTGGCTGGATCCCAGATTCTAACTGTGTGATCAGATGACCCTGTCATAAGTCGGTTTTCATGGCTGGACCAGGCAATTGCGTTGATTGAGCCATTGTGGCCCTCGAGTGTAGACTTGCACCGGCCTGTGGCCGGATCCCAGATCCTGACCGTCTTATCATGTGATGCTGACGCGACTCTGCTTCCATTCTGCGACCAGATAACAGAGGTTACCGGACTACTATGGCCCTCGAGAGTGAATATGGACCGGCCAATTTCTGGGTCCCAGATCCTGATCGTATAATCAGCGGACCCTGACGCCAGCTGACATCCATTTTGAGACCAGGATACTGAGTAAACCGAATCATGATGCCCTTTGAGGGCCCCTACGCACTGGCCTGTAACCGGATCCCAAATTCTCAATGTCTTATCATCAGACGCTGATGCGAGCCGGCTTCCATCTTGGGACCAGTCGATCATCCTGACCCCGCTAGTGTGCCCCTCGAGGGTTAGCGCGCACTGGCCGGAAGCTGTATCCCAAATTCTGACCGTCTTATCAAAAGAAGCCGATGCGAATTGGTTTCCATCTTGCGACCAATTAACTGAGCTGATCGAATCACTATGCCCCGCTAGTGTTGACGTGCATTGGCCAGTGGCCGGATCCCAGATCCTCGCTGTATTATCATTAGACGCTGATAGGAGTCGGCTTCCGTCTCGGGACCAGGACGTTGTCCTGACCCAACCATCATGTCCCTCGAGGGTATGAAGGCACAGATTCCAATTCTCCTCTGCAGATGGCTTATTCAAAATCCAATCTGGTTGTTCACTTTCATAGCACTTTCTTGTGATACTCTTAGTTGGGCTGAAGATGAGAGACGAGTTGTATATTTGAAGCGGGCTGCTTTCAATGGCTACCCTCCAATATCGAATAAACCGGGATGCATCTCGGACTCGATGCAAAAGAGGTAGTGGCTTGTTGTGTGTCTATTGATAGTTTCCGTTGTAAATAGAGATCCCCAACATAAAATTGAACACTTACCTGAAGCAAGTCTTCAAGCTTTAGCATAGCTACTATACCTTGCGATATACTTCCGAGGATGCTAAGGGCTTCGAGCCAGTTAAGGTATTTTTGCTGCAGGAAAAGATCGACGCAGCCTCCCTCGTCAAGAATAACGGCATCTTGTTTATGACACCAACCCTGCCGAAGATGGTCTACCCAATAGACACACGCGTATTGTATAGCTGCTAAAGGATTCGGACTGGGTTGAGTGACTTTCTCAATAGGAAATCCAGGGAACTTAATGTCGAAGATATCGCGACGAAGTGTCCGATGCATAGCCTGTAGAGAGCGTGAGAAAATTGCATATTGTCCAGCTTCTTTGCCTTCGGAGAAAACAGTGTTTCGCGCCTCTCTGAGTAAAAATTCTTTCGCAGACTGATGGACGAAGATAATGGTGTGTTGATTCAAGGTCAAAAAGGAGCCACAAATTGCTATGATCTCGGAGAGGTCTTCGATGTCTTTATAGAGTTCATCAGGAAGTTCAATCAAAGAGGCTAATTCGTCCAACGCAAGAGGCCGATGAACTATTGACATGACAGCCAGTATGCGCTTGCAGAGCTCCGAATCTTCCGAATTGAGAACCTGGTCGAACATTCGACTGTACAGAGCATTTAGCCTAGGAGGAAATGCTTCCAGCTTCTTAAGAGCGTGCCTCCGCGGTGTTCTATCAAGCTCCTGACAGACCAAGGCTACCCACAGGAAAGTGTCTTGCGCATTCGACGATAAGTAACGGCATATCGTATCGCGCGTTTCATCTTTATACTGCTTTGTTGTTGCCAAATGCTTAACCTTATGCCAGATTAGCTTATTCACAGCTTCAGATATAGACGCCCCGTTTAGCTCCAACGAGATCGCGGCTGTCTGGGTTGCAGTGCCAAGGCGTTCTTCAATATCGGGCCAGTTACGGCTTGAGACAATCCACTTTACTTTTGGATGGGCGGGAGGCTCCTGGGCAATCAAGCTTAGAAGGAGAGAAAGGTCTGTTGTGCATTCGTCTAGAGCGTCGATTATCAGATAGGTACTCCGTAAGTCCACGTCTTTCAGAATATCCGTGAAGATCCTCGAGAGGGCATTCCATGCATTTATGTCCTCAAACAGTGCTTTTCCCGCTGGGTCATATCGACGTCGTACGTGGTGGAGAAGGGATGGCTGCTGCTCGACAAGTGAATATATCAACCCACGGAGAACGGCCGTGGCATTATTGATTCGCAGGTCAGTAGCTTGGCAGAAAAAGAACGAAATATTCGCAGTGACTCCAATCGAGCGTGTCAACTCCTCAATGACACCACAAAGGAGCATTGTCTTCCCCTTGCCAGGGTCTCCTCTAATCCAAAGCAGACGGCTGCTTCGGTCATTTTGCCAGTGTCTGTACTCCTCATTGTCTAAAATCCAGCAGTATGAGTCCTTAAGCAGCCCTCCATTCATGTTCTTGATACGGTTTTTATCGTCGGTGGGATTGGTCGTTCGCAGATCCCGTAGGCACGCTTGGTTCAACGATGTTTCTGATTGTGCTAAGGCAGTAAATTAGTCGGGTTGAGTAGACTTGTGTCTTCCCACTTACCGAACTGAGCAGTGACATTTCCATTAATGACGCCTGCTTGGAACCCAGAGTTAGGTCCGCCATATGATATCGTAGATGCCATGATGCAGTCAGACAAGTTAAGTCGCGAACACATGGCTCAGTCGCCAAAGTACCCCACTACCAGGCGACCTAGGAAACTACGCTAGCCAGGGAACACTCATCCAGATTTTGAGCTCCTCGCTCACTCGGAGTGGCAACTAGCGTTTTCCGTTTGTTGCAAAACCTTTGGTACAATCGTGTGACCCCACCATTCAGTATTTATCTGCCATTCGTGACAAGGTGCCCTTTTGAGATTATTCTACGTAATCGTATTTTCAGTAAAGTACATAGCATCACGTCATGTGATTTATTCTTACAATACATGACGATGTTCTGGAACTTGCTAGACCTAATATGGACTAGCGTGTTTCAATTTAGAGTTAGAGAAAATAATTGAAGAGAGTAAAACCGTGAAACTGATTTCGAGCGCGTCTGTATAAGTCGTAGTCTACCCATTTTCCAATAGAAGCAAGTTGTTTCATTCTCGAGATCACTATCTTTTAACATATGGTTCCTTTGTGAAGGGCTGAGGCCAAACTGATTCAGTGCTGACTGGGCCAAACATGCTGTTCAAATAAAGCTTGAAGAAGGGAAGGAGTTGAAAAAGCTGAACACTGGTAGAGATAGGGGCAGGTAGGGCGGTGGTGGAACGAAAAACCTAACCGGCAAGACCACATAGTGAGGAGCGGGTCCGACTCATTACATCCCTAGCCCTCCAGTAACGCTTTCAAGGCATCAGCAGGCGTGCACTTTGGAGTATAAAGCTTCAGGATCTCGTTGCTGGTCGTAGAAGTCGAGCATTTCCCTTCCCACGCTGTGTCGATGGCCCGCTTGCTCGAGTAGATGATGTTCTTCGATTGCTTGGTTGCCGCATACTTGTCCTCATACAACGTGTCGACAAACGAGAGGTCCTTGTACCTAACATCTTTGACGGGTGTACCAATATGCTGTTCAACCATTGCAACAATCTGCATCCCAGTGATGTCCTCTGGTCCATTCAGAACGTATCTGGACTTATTATGGCTGGAAGTGTCATCCTGGGATAAGAGATGAGCTGCAATAACACCAACCTCGTCGGAATCAATAATGCCGACCGGTGCATCCTTTGACAATATTAACCGAAGTGTATTCTGTTCTCCAGTCCTGCGGTACTTCTTGATGAATTCCGCAGCAGGGGACAAAATGAGTGTTGAGAAGATGTTCGGCTGAAGAGAGGTCCACTGCAAGTTGTCGAACTCGGGTGAACCGAGGAGAGCCTCAATGGCCCAGTGCTGGCGTGGATGGTAGGCAGGGCAGTCCGGACAGACATTCGCAGCCGTAGTGGAGATCCGCACGACATACTTGACGCCAGCGTTGAGGGCATTGAGGTGGAAGGTCGACTCTACGGCAAATTGGTTGGGCTCGGGTTGGGATGCAATAAACACTCTAGCAACTTGGTGTTCGCGGAGCCAGTCGGCGGTGATCTCAACCCAGTTCTGCTCGATCACTTCAACTCCGGGCAATTTAGCAAGCTCGCGTGCTGCAGGACTGCTCGAAGTGCGAGTGAGAGCAATAACGCGGTACCCGGATAAGGTGCTGCTGGATTGAAGCAACTTCGGCAGTGTTTGAGCAACAGCTCGGCCAGTATTGCCGGTGGCGCCGGCGATAAGGATGGAAGGAGTCATGGTTCGAGGTGCGGAATATAGTTCACTTTGAGTATCGAGGCTCCTATACCCAGTTTCTTTTCCGGTAATCCCTTCCATAATCTCGGTGATTAGAAATCCTAAGATGGGACTACGAGTTCGAGCGAGTCGTAAGTAGCAGGATTACTAATAACCTCTTGCCGCCCGTCGGCATCGCACTAAGTAAAACTGTGTGCCCTTTGCGAAATTCCGCCTCGAAGTTGTGTCCCGGATTTCTAAGCTCAAAAGCGGTGGGAGGCCGGTGGGATGCCGGTGGGGGCCCGGTGGGGGGAACGGTGGAGGACGCGGTGGAGCTAAGAGCTATTGCCACCCGTTCGAACACCGTGCAAACCTCAGTAGGCCCACTCTCCCCCTTTGCCGTGTCATTTCTGAAGGGACGCTAGCTGCTAGAGACAGTCTTACTAATGGAAGGGTTCGGCGGCGAAATCGGGTTCTTTCAGAGTCTCTCGGATCCTTTCGTGTACGGCGCGTTCCAGTGTCAATTCCCTGGCTGCAATGTGAGGTACCGGCGCAAGGAGCATTTAAAACGCCACGAAGAATCAAACCACGCCCAGCTGCAGGCCTTTGTCTGTTCCATCTGCGGTTCCCAATATAGACGAAGGTACCCACGTGCTTACACTTACATTTTTTTCAACACCAACCTGACTATAGAACGTTGCAATTAGCGATACACTTCGACGCCATCTTCGAAGGCAGCACAAAACAACCGAGCCGCTAGACCGCGCGCGCCGAGCTTGCGCGGGTTGTCATACCGGCAAAAGTCGGTGCGAAAGGGGCGTGCCATGTGAAGAGTGTGTCCGTCGCAACATTCCATGTTCTTTTCAAGATAAGGATGGTAAAACAGAACAGCAACATTCCAGGAACCGGACTCCACTTCCATCATCTCCAAAATACGAACGGTCTCAGGAATTTTATTGGGAGAAGAGGAAGCATTACGTTGATCATTACTTTGAGGTATTCCACCCCCGTTGGTCTTTCATCCATAAAAGGACATTCGATCTACCCCGAGAAACCCCGCTACTTCTACAATCAATGGTGGCCATCGGTATGTGGACATCGAAGGAATCGTCTGCACAGTCTGCGGCAGTGGAGCTTCATGATAAACTTGATTATGCTATCCGAGGTCAACGGGTACGTCAGATTATTGACCTGTAATGCGCCAATTTGCTGATGTGTAAGCCACAGGGAAAATGGGATGCCTCAGAAGTAGAGGGGGCATGCAGCAATTGCTTCTGGCCAATAGCGACATACCAGGCCATCCTACTACATATTATTTTGTCTATTCTCGTGAAGGGCGAAGGTATTGTCAACCTCAATCTGAAAGCATCTATTTCGGCCGAGGATTTAACACTGCTTAAATCACTTGTTGGAAGCTGTCGAAGACTGGGCATGTTCTCCTATCCGAATATGCTCGCCCGGTATAAGGAAGCTGACCTCCCCCTTTGGTCTGGGTGGGTGTCGAGGAGTTCAAGCGGTTCAATATATCACTGTACAAGCTTTGTGCGACACTCAGCAGCGCAAGCCCAGAAGACAGGCCTTTACTACCTGCCAGTGAACTTCACTTCCCTCTGCCAAGCAATGAACCTTTGTGGAATTCCATTGAAAGAGATGAGTGGGAAGCTAATGCGAAGGAGGAGAAGATGGTTTCCTTAAACAATGAGCTTCAGGAGAAGTGGATTTCGAAGTTTGCAGACATGTTAGAATTTCTTACTTTATAGTTTAATTATGAATTTTGGTGATGACCAATAAACCAGCGAACTAGCAGCTGATCGCAAACTGGTGGGAGGGGACCAGGTGGGAAGCCGGCGCGGATCGAATGTTTTTCATCATTGATATAGTTTAGATCCTTGAATCAGTGCACAGCCATAATTTAGGGACTGTAGTCAGATCCCGTTGCGTAGACACCAACGTATCCATGAGTCGGAGCGTATTGCGAGTCGTGATCCCATAGTTCGGGCGCGGCAGGCTGGGAGATTGGATCGCCATGATTTGGGCTCTGTGTCATCTTTACACAAAACGGCTCTCTTCTATGTCAGCTTATAAGGGTACGGGCTTTCGATGGGCCACGGCAACGAATGAAATTGCAGTGGATCAAAGAAGCCATAGAAATAAAAACAACTTTTCCTACCAGGTTAGTTCTCTATAGATCAAATGCAGCCTTCTATTGGATGTCAAACGAATGTAAGCGAAGGCTGCGTATGACAAGAAGATCAAGACATAAGGAGACGAATTGGGGGAGATCTTGCCGAATCGTCAGGATTGCCCACTTTGTTTGGTCTCTTTGCATGAAAGATTCTATCAAATTCTAAGGCAAATTACGGTACTATTACAATAACTCAGTCATTGTTACCAAGGAATGCCCTGAAACGAACGAAGTGAGAGGAAGGGTTTACCTTCGCCCGCAGGGATACCCTTGTTGTCAAAACTTTATCTATGATGTTGATGTTAGCCAAATCCAGGCTTCTTATTCGCTACTTTGACCCACTGTCTTCCTCTGATTCGCTATCTCCTCATTCCACGCCCTCTTCTGATTGCTGCTCAAGCAATTCGCACTTTTGTTTAGTGTTGGCGGTTTTCATCCTTACTGACTGGCTCTTTCCTCTATAGCCCTAACAGCTGGCTCCCTAACCCTGGTGTCCGTGCTTCATACTTGGTGCTCATTCGTTATACCCTCACGTTCATTGCTTGCATGCTTTTGCTACGCACTTCTTTAAAGTCTTCTAATTGGTCTGCAACCAGTTTGTCCTTCGTGTTCATTATATAAGGAAGCGGGGTTAGGCCGCAATGCGCCAAACTCTCATTCTTTGAACATAGAGCAAAACTAACCTCCTCAGGAAAACCTACTTATTTGGTTTTTGGCCTCACAGTCCCGGTTTTTGGTCTGCCGAATCTTAATAGACTCTCACAACTTCATTCGCGTCTAGCCATGAAAAAGAAAAGGTGCAAGCCTTCGTGCTCTCCCAAACTCGAGGATGGAATGACTTACCCTTACGAGCTCAGTCCTTCACCGCCCAGGCCCTAGAGCAGGGAGCACCAAGATACCATGCTCGGGCTTATTACCAGGTAAGAAGCAGAATATATAGCGCTCTATAGTAGTGTGAATAAAGCATACTCACTTATTTAAGGTTTAGCGTTCAGTGGATCACCGCCCGCAATTCCGGGTACGCCACATAACGTATGTCGATCATCCGAGCCCGCAACCTTGTGCTATGTCACATCCGTGGTTTTGCCGTCCGCGGTTCCTCATCTTCGTTGAGTCACACTCCGCTTGCATATAACCAATCGGTATTGGATGGGTAAGAGGTGAAAGTTACTTTATACTGACGTATCAAAAACATAGCCATGTCTACCGGAATACAAAATAGGCGGCTGATATGGTTATGAAATCTAAACTTTGCAGTTGAGCCCACAATCCACTACAATAGAGTACCAGGACCATTAATGGTGAGACACAACCAATAGGGCACATGACAGGATACATTGCCTGCTATCTTGCCCCATGACGCCACTGTCATTACCGCCGCCCTTGGTACCACCACAGCCATTGCAAGGCCAATGTTTTGGGCTAATGCCATGCTAAGCCACCATAGCCCTCGCACTACCTCTAGATCAGCGACCTTGCTGGAAGGTGGTTCCACCTCAACCATCAAACAGTCGTTCAACTCCACTGAGACCACTGCACCAAATGACGACTATGAAGAAATTCAAATAACCTGGCCAGACACAGCCTCACACTCCTACGCCAGAGAGGCGACCCCAAAGGCCAAAACATCCTACGCTGATATACTTGCTCAATCCAAATACAACACTTAACAATCTATAAATTTATCTCGGTTTCTTCACCGTTTCTAAAGTGAAGTGTGCGTGTATTAGTCGTGCTTATAGAGCTCATGATAACCCTGTACGGGTGATCCAAGGAGAGCCATAACTATCACTGATGTAAGCGTGACTTAAGAGGTCCCAAAATTGTTCGAATATATGTAGCAACCCACTCTACTGCCATCCGAAGCAAAGAAAGGACTCTTCGCTAGATGAAGATCTTACAGTTGCTATAGGCGCCGGCTCTGTATAACAACATATTTGCCTGCCGCCTACTCTTTCAATTTCTAACGTCTCGCCCATCGCTCACATGGCCACAACGCATGACTTCGAGGGCCTGTGGAGTGAGGCCGTTGACAGATACATCGACTCCACCAGTCGGACACTCTCTGAGCAAGGTCTACTCAAGCAGTTAAAAAGTTCGAAAGAACTAGAAGAACAGCTTGTAAAAGACCATCTCAGTTTTACTAGCTTCCGGGCAAAACGTTCCAAGATTACTGGGAGGATTAAAAAGGCTGTGAAGCCTTTTACAGTGATTTCAGCTGTTGCCTCTAGTGCAATCTCACTCTCCCCTTTCGCCCCTGCTTCGACGATATTTGGTGCTGTTGTCTTTGTCATACAAGCCGCCGATGGAGTATCAGAGGCGTATGACTGGATTGACGAACTTTTCAATAAGCTCGGCGACTTCACAGTCCGCCTGGAGGAGTACTGCAAAGAAAGTATGAGTCCACGCCTGGAGAAAAAGGTAGTCCAGATTCTGGGATGTTTACTGGATATTCTCGCCCGTTCTGAGAAGACAATTAAAACTGGCCGATGGAAAAAATATGCTGCCGCGCTTTTCTTAGGAGCGGATGAGGTGACCAAGGCCTCCTTTGACAGACTGGCGAAGCTTTTCGAAGACGAACAACGACTTATTAGTGCAATTACGTTTGCAACCAATCAGAGAATGGACAAGAGGATTGAGGAAATTGACCAGGCTGTGAGGCAAACACATCGCGCAGCAACAAATGCTGAAATCGGTGTGGATGCAATCCAACAAAGTCAACGTCGCGACACAATCCTGAATTGGATATCATCAGCCGATTTCCCATCTCAACAATCTGACGCCATTAACAAGAGACAAGAAGGGACTGGGCAATGGTTTCTTGATGCTTCCGAATTTAACAGCTGGATTCGTGGATCAAAGCAGACCCTGTTCTGTCATGGAATGCCCGGGGCTGGTAAGACGATTGTGGCTGCCATGGCCATTAACCACCTTTTTAGGACGATACAAAGTAGCGCCAACGGAGTTGTATACATATACTGCGATTATAAAATGCGAGGAGAACAAAACGTCCCCAGTCTCTTCGCTGCAATCCTCCGGCAACTAGTGCAGGCCCAACAATTAATCCCGGATGATGTGTTACGTCTACATGAGGATCATTCAAGGGAAAGGACCACATTATCGTACGATGAAATCTTCGCTACCCTACGGTCTACACTTAAGAATTACTCAACAGTTCACCTTGTTATCGATGCTCTGGATGAATTGCTGGGCCGCCAAGACGGCACTCTCAGCCAACTTCTGGCCAAGATCCGTGACCTCCAAAAGGATGCGAATCTCAATCTAATGATCACCTCGCGATTTATTCCCGAACTAAAAGAGGAGTTTGAACATGCAACAAAACTGGAGGTTCGAGCAAGTAATGGTGACGTGAGAAAATTTGTCGCAGACCAGATTTATCAACTTCCAAAATGTATTCGAGGTGACGAAGAGCTGCCGAGCGTAGTGGAAGATAATATCGTTAAAGCAGCAGATGGCATGTTAGTATACCACGTCCTTACCTTTACACACGATCTACTAACAATATTAGGTTCCTTCTCGCTTGTCTCAGTGTAGATTTGCTGCGAGATACAACCACCAAGAAGCAGGCCAAGTCTACATTGGAGAGAATCTCAAAGAATTTTCAGGGTTCTAAACGACGACTCGCACAAGTATACGACGAATTATATTGCAAAACAATCAAGCGAATAGGGACCCAACCAAGCATGAAGCGTGCATTAGCTCGTAATGTCCTCTCCTGGATTACCTATGCAGAAAGGCCGCTCACGGTTGAGGAACTACGCCATGCGGTAGCTGTTGAGTTCGGTGATAAATATCTCGATGAGGATAACATGCCGGATGTGGAAGAAATTACCACCGTTTGTGCTGGCCTTGTTGTTGTGAACGAGGCAAATAATATTATTCGCTTCGTCCACTACACCACCCAAGAATACTTTGAGCGGATCCGAGAGAAGTGGAACCGAGGTATTAAGGTCAAAATTGCGTCCTCTTGTCTCACATATCTCTCATTCAATGCTTTTAGGAGCGGCAGCTGTGGCAGTTACGAAGAATTCCAGAACAGACTCGAGCAGTACAAGCTCTTGGATTATGCTTCTCGATATTGGGGCCAGCACGCGCGTACGGTCCAGGAGCAGGTGTCTGAGGCAGCATTCCTTTTCCTAAAGGACAACAATCTGGTTTCCTCCGTTATACAGACCGCGACAAATCCACAATCGGGAGCCATACGCTTTAGTCAGGATTTTCCGAGACACGTAACGGGCTTGCATTTAACAGCTGGGCTTGGATTGCGATATTTTTCGGACTGTTTGTCCTCACAGCCGGCCGCGAATATCGACAACGTACTTAATCCGAAGGACAGTCACGGTCGGACACCGCTACTGTGGGCTGTAGACTACAGTCATGAGGCGGTGGTGGGGCTGCTACTGGGCAAGGGCGCCGTGGTCGACTCGAAAGACAATGGCGGTCGGACACCGCTACTGTGGGCTGCAGACTACAGTCATGAGGCGGTGGTGGGACTGCTACTGGCCAAGGGCGCCGTGGTCGACTCGAAAGACAATGGCGGTCGGACACCGCTATTGTCGGCTGCAGCGACGGGCCGTGAGGCGATTGTGGACCAGTTACTCGCCAATGGCGCCGAGGTTGATTCAAAGGACAATAGCGGTTTGACACCGCTGTCGTGCGCTGCATTGGGGGGCCGTGAGGCGATTGTGGACCAGTTACTCGCCAATGGCGCCGAAGTTGATTCAAAGGACAATGGCGGTCGGACACCGCTGTCGTTGGCTGCAGAGCGGGGCGGTGAAGTTGTGGTGGGCCGGTTACTCGCCAATGGCGCCGAAGTTGATTCAAAGGACAATGGCGGTCGGACACCACTGTCGTGGGCTGCAACGATGATCCGAAAAGAAGCGATGAGAGTACTACTTGACAAGGGCGCTGATATGGAATGTAAGGATAAACATGGTTTCACGCCGCGAGAGTACTTCCATACGGTGTGACAATGGTATTTTGGGGCAGCAGTTCATAGGCATGACGCGGCGTTAAGCTGCTGGTTGACAAAGCTGATAAAAATCGCACCTGCTTCTAAAAAAATGCGCAGATCCAAATACATAGGCCAGCAGCCCAAGCCATCTAGGAGTACTCTTCTTCTGATTGCTCGTCTATATCTCCACGCTTCGCATTTGATTGCTTGTCTGTTCATTCACGCTCTTCTCTGATTGTTCGTCTATCTTCCCACGCTCTCATCTGATTGCTACTCGGCGACTTTCCTTTTCTTCCTTCTTAGGTTTGTTGCTTCCAATTGTCGTATTCGGCTTCTGTTGCTTCTTCTCAACGCCTAGGGATCCCCGCCTACCCACTAGTTCTATAGTCGATGAGCCTCTTAACGTCTCTGCCTACGGTATGATTCTGTCCTTGTTTTGTCCTACACGTATGTCATTGTGTGCAGTGCGCATATAGGACGTGTTCCACGTCTCGGCTTCCTATAATAAGCTGTGCCAAATCTGACTAGATGATAGATTGACAATGAGTGATGTGATGTCGGGCAAGGGTGCAAGTATATAGGAGCAATAAAATATAGCATCGCCGGATGCGAAATTGCTTTTCTTTCTTGAATCCATGGAGCCCGCTACCATGGTTTGCGGGAGTGTCAGAAGACCTTCTTCAAAGCCTAGCCGTATATCAATATGCAATTGGCTTGACTTTTATTAAGAATCTAAACCTCAATAAAGCCTATGCTGACTTGCGTATTGAGTTGGATCTAAAAATGGCTCTGGGTTGGCATAGGTAACACGGATTAGACCCGGCATAATTTATCTACACTAAAACTAAGCCACAAAAGCCTAATTCAATCCGCATACCACAAGATCAGACCTTGGCGTATCTCGACGTATTTTGGATCCCAATACATATATATATTACTTTACTTCTGCACTAATAATAGGCCTGCATTGAGGACGATAATACCATAATGTTCAAGGATTAACACCCCGTACAAGAAACTTTCTTTATGCACCTTATTTCTGTATTATCCAATAAAGTTGCTCGCTAGTTACCAAACATACTTCCTTGTTTTCATGTCGTTTCAGGGCATCGGCGTGCGGAGCTTGCGGAGCGCGCGTCTTCCAGTCTAATCAACGTGGATGTACGTGTGCGAGACTGGAAAAAAAGAAGAGGCTTAACTATGTACGGTTTTTTCCGCCACGCACCCCCGTGATTCGTTCCTTGAATTTCCATTTTGAGTCTGTGTATCTGGGGTTTAGGGTTCGCCATCTATATCTGCATTGTATCTGCATGCTGTCCGACTTTGATTGCTTCGCTTCCGTTTCTTGCTGTATGTTTTAATCGTACGCTCAGGGTCTTACTGCCACCAGCGCCTTTATCTGCGGCCCACTTTGAGATTTCTTGTATCTCTTTGGTGCTGCATCGCGATGTTGACGCATCGCTCTTGTGTTACTTGCGGTCGCAGTGTTCGCCTGTCTACAGCTATTCAGCCGCCGCGGTGCCCCGCCTGCCGCCTAGCAGTTGTTCCGTCCCCACCTGAAACGCGTCCCTGTCAACGCTGCCATCTTCCGCTTCCGGTAACTTCGCCTGCTCTTTTCTGCGCAGGTTGTCAAGTAAGGCAAACTTATGATACATCATGCCTGGACTGTGGGAAGTACTTTGCTGGCCGGCGTCATATTATCCGTTGTCCGGACTGCAGGTCCAGAAGATCGACTGCTCCACGAACGCCTGTCAGCTCTGGCCGCTTCCAAGCCTCTTTTGATCCCTTTACGAATTCGTTCCAGCGGCCTAATAATCTTCCGCGACATCGCTCTCGACCTTCTCGTCAGCGAATAAGGCTTATATCTCCATCATCCCCAAGATCACGGATACAGCCTATAGACTGTGACCCCAGCTTTCTCGCTGTCAACCAAGCCATCGCGTTTCTACGCCAAGAACATGAATCTCGTGTACAGGCCTCGGAGACTTTCCCTTCTCCAATCTGCAGTTCTTATATTCGTTCCTCGTTTATTCGTTTCGATAATGAGATAGAAATTGCGAGCCGAGATCTTATATGCTCCTCGTGTGGCAAGCTTGCTGCTAGTTCTGATATACGACAATTCCTAGATGCAGATTCCTTGTTACAGCCACTTGAAGGTTTCCTAGACCTCTGCGGTTATGCAGACGGTTTTTGGAACCTCTGCCCGCCATGCCATGCGGCCCTTCTCCGAGCAAACATTCCAAAGTTTTCTGCCAAAAACAGCGTGAACGTCACTTTATGCCAGCACTACCCTGACGCCCTAACAGATCTTACTTTAACCGAAGAATATCTGGTTGCTAGATCTCACCCTGTTGGAATAATTGTGAAGCTGCGGCCACGGGGGCGAACATCGCCCGCAAACTACCATGCGCTACGCGGTCACTTCATAATCATCCCACAAGACCCGAAGCCACTACTTCAAATTCTACCAAGCCACGCCCTAGATTTCACTGAGATCATCAAGGTCATATGGATGGGAAAAGGTTCCCCAACAGACGCCGATTTACGACCATTCTTGATTGTTCGTAAAAGCAAAGTACTTGCTGCTCTGCGATATCTTACCGAATTCAATCCCCTTTACGGAGACGTTGTCCTCGACCATTCAACTGTCAACGAATGGCCTGACGAGTTCATACCATCTGAGTTGCAGCAGCAGATCATATCTTTGAACGAAACAGATTCTGATGAGCGGGCCGGCTACACCGTCGATTTGCAAGAAGGCAATTATGAAAATGAGTGGCAGGCCGCGGAGGACAACCATGGAAACATTGACGAGAATCCTCTCCTAATCTCAGCCTCTGTCACCACTGATATCAACGGAGAACGCCAAAACCCTAGTTTCCGCGTGCTAAATACCGTGTACAACACACAAAGACAGTCTAGTGTAATTGAATATGGAATTCCCGGGCAGGCATCGCTCCTGAATCAATGGCAGGACGCTCATTATTTCACATCTGCTTTCCCTACGCTGTTTCCTACCGGGGTTGGAGGACACCAGGATGAGCGGGATGTGTCAGTGTCGCTCGTTGCTTTCGCTGACTGGGCACTCCGACATCATAGCCGAAGGCATGTGGCTACGACCATTAGTAGTACGGGCTTTAACTGATTAATCCAGATTTGCTCTCCACAGGACATCCATGTATCTGCTATATGATGTTATCCAACTGCGGAATTCTTGTCTCGGTCATTCACTCCTCATAAAACGATCACAGTGGACCTCTGTTACCGGTGATCTGAACGGACTGGATGCCGATCGCCTACGGAAAGCGGCCGAAGAACTCGCTGCGAATCAAGTACCCGCGGATCCCATTATCCGACGACTACTCAAGAATATAACTGCCATCGGAGTCCAAGTACCAGGATCCTTTTTCCAAAAGCTACAGATGCGTGCCGAGCTCCGAGGTCTGCTCGTACGCGAAGGGATGCCTGCGTTCTGGTTGACAATCAACCCGTCTGACCTTCAAAACCCCCTTGTTCTGGCTCTTGCTGGAATACAGTGCCCGGTTGATCCCACTGGTGAAGTTTCATCGACGATACGATGCGCAACAGCGACTTCTGATCCAGTGGCGGTACAAGATTCTTCCATTATACTTGCAAGGCAGTCCTCTACGGTTTACTGAGTGCGAAACATACTGAGATCGGAATCCTTGGGGATGTGTCTAATTATTTTGGTGTTGTTGAAAGTAATGAACGAGGCATGTTACATCTTCACGCATTGGTTTGGATTCGAGGCAATCTAGGTTTCAGCAAGTTACGCGATCGTATACTTGCGAACAGTCACTTTGCAGATCGGATGATCACGTTTTGGGAATCCGTTATCAAGCATAGCTTGCACTTATGCCCCCAAGACCCTGACACAACCATGCCACCTTCCCCAACTGGTCCACAGTCGGATCGCGAGTTCATGCAGAATCTGTTCCTCGACAGCAATTCCATTGCTCGCTCTAAGCAACTTCACTCCACTCGTCACACAGCAACCTGCTTTAAGTACCGTCACTCGGGGCTGGCAAACAATAGTTGTCGCTTTGGTATGCCCCGAGATATTTTGGAAAGCTCTCAAGTGGACGAGCATGGTATTGTGCATCTTGCACGTAATCATGCTTGGGTGAACCCGTGGAACCCCTCAATCGCCAGCTGTATACGCTCGAATCATGACATCTCCTGGATCCCGACCGTGTCTAAGTCTTTATCGCTCCTTTACTACATCACTAATTATGCGACCAAAGACGATGTTTCGCCTAGTCAGATAGTAACGAAAGCCGCGTTATTAAAACAAGCCATCGATCGGGCAAGCTCCACTCCCGCCCCAAACTTAGCAGACATAAAGCTTCGTCAAAAAGGCATGGACAAGTTTGCTCTGCGCTGTTTCAATAGCTTGACACAAGACCGAGAAGTTAGTGGTGTGCAAGTAGCGAGCACATTACTCCAACTCCCTTCCTACTACACGCTCAACTGTAATTTCACACGCTTGAATCTGTGGTGGCTAAGACGATATTTTCGATCTATCATTCCACTTGGTCAACCTGGCGATGCAGCGTCATCCGATACGCTGGGAGAAGAACAGTGCAATTATGACCAAGATGCGGCTGTACCGGCAAACATATTCGACAATTATAGATGGCGGGGGGTTCTCCTTTCTCCCCTGTGCATTTTCGAGTACTGCATGCTTGTACGCACCAAAAGGGTCCAGGACGCGACGACAGAAGATATTCCATTCCATGAGACACATCCAAGGTATCGAACTCATGTGCAGAGGCTGGCTCGATCAGTGTCCCAGACAGCCACTGTAACCCTCCAAGGTGAGCTGACAGAATTTCAGTCCGCTGAGGATTCCATGCCAGGCGGACACCCTACAACCACTGCAATTCAGAACGATCTAGCCGAGATTCTTCTTGGAATGTTCATTCCTTGGCAGAACTTACGGCCACTCTTCCACCAAATACCTGTTGACTCCGGAGCAACACACGACATTCTTCA